TATGTATACATACATGCCGACACATGCACATACATGCCTCTCTTGCTTTTGTCACCTTCAAAGCCCCAACCACTGATTAAAGTGTAGCAGTGTGTGTGGGAAAATAAGGTTTCAGTTGTAGGGGTGAAAAGAATAGGACAGACCGTTACATTTGGAAGCCTGGTTAGCCTGTACAGGTGTGGTTTTTTCCAGTGAAGTACAGTGTGGGTCTGTTGGTATACGGTAACAGTCAAGACCCAGAAACTACAATATAATTCTTTGGAAGAACTCAATAGATGTTAAGCTATTTGCAGTCATTTTAAAAATTCCATGTCAATGAAGGCCCTAGGTCACCATGACGTGCCTCCCCCAGGAATATCACGCAAGCCCAAGCTTAACTCCAAGAGCGTAGTGGTCCATAATGGGGACTTCCTGCACTGTGACAGTGCAAATAACAATGCTGCCCTTTAAGTAAGGATGGTTTTCAGCGTATGCTAAGGTGTGTTGCTGAGTGGAGATCTCATGTCAAGTCTTCCTAGATTTCTGCCTTAGAAGAATTAGTGGGGGAACATAAAATATACATCCATCTCATAAGCTTCTTCAAAGTTGTCAATTCAGTAGAAAATACTGAGTATATAAATGACTATAATAGTACTTAGGTGAGTGCACAAACCTCACTGTGCCTTTTTATTGGAGAATTCACGGGAGGAGGCAACTAACTCTTTCACAGCCTAAATGCATTTGTTCACGGCACTCAGTGTCCTGAAGTGCCTCAGTATCCTGGCAGCCGTACGTGACAGTTCCACTATATGTATGAGGTAAGGAGAATGCCACAAGTATTGCAAAACATGGCAAAGATACCTAGGAGCTCTACGATCTATCAAACAAGCACGGCAAACAAACAGCATCTAATGGCTAACATATGGTATACAACACGCAAGCTGCACAGTTATACTTCCTTGCGAAATCAGGATTGCAAACGTAAACTCCAGAATAAGTTTCAAGAGCAGCATTTGGCTTACTGCATCACCTCTGGTGATATCTGAAGTCCAGCAACCCCACGAGCACTGCATTCTCTGCTGTTACAAAAAACGATCTCACTGAACCAACTAGAGCCAGCAGGCCCACGTCCTGCAACCCATATGACTATGGCAGAGGTTAAACAACATTGTTTGGCTACCACTGTATATTCAGCTTTTATGTTGTCTGCGCTACATAAATGTTGCTCTTGGAAAGTATAAAGCACACAGTGATATACAAATGGTATCAATGGCTGAAAAGATTACACGATCAAGCCTGAAAGCAAATGGAAGTTAACGAAAGTAGTCTTTTAGGAGAGGTAGCCATATTAGACTCAGCATTCAAAAAAAGGGAGTGCACTCAAAGGCTCAACATATAGTCTCTTGTAGACCCATCATGTTTTTGTTTGTCCTACATTTTTTTTGCAGAATGTACACACCCAGGCGCACACACACATACACACACACACATATATATATATACACACATCTATCTTTTTTTCCTAATTCCTGTTTGTTGCCATAACTTTGCCATACTGAGAACAAAGACCAGCTTTCCTTTCACCCTCTCTTAGCTGTCCCACGTCTACAACTGCTGCCTTCAGTCTCTTCAGTATCCGTACAGCAGCTAAACAAGCTGTGGAAATTAAAACTGCTTCAATTCAATATCCTGTTTCAAAAGACAGCATCCACACTATAAGGCATTCCCTCATTTCGATGCGAGTTACAACTCTCTTGGGTTTCTACTTGATACAAACTGGAGAGTGCTCTTCAGCCTTGTGCTACAAAGGCAGCCTTCACTCAAATAATAAAGACCAAAGCTGGAATTTAAACACAAGTTCAGACGCTTCTACCAGTCCCTTGTTCCTGTGCCCCTTTCCAACAACGCTTATCACTTTAATTTCAAAAGTCATGCCCCAATGCTATAAAATAGAAACCCAAACTACCAAGAAGTCTCTTGCTCATGACTTTGGGATATTGTATTAGTATAAAAGAGCATTCAATCATCTTAAATAAATATATTCTATTTCTGCAATCACAGCACATTCAAGGGGTACTTACTGCCATAAGCAGAGCATTAAGTAATCTCCATAGATGTTTTCAGAATCACAGAATCATTTACGCAGGAAAAGACCTTTAAGATCATGGAGTTTTGATTGATTTGGTCTACTATCTGGAAAAAAACCTACTGCGGGGATAAGAATCTGCATCTCAAATGCTCTGCAGAACATTTTTCCCATATTTGTATACAGTACTAGAACAATTAAGAAGACAATACAGTAATTTTCTCCCAGCTGCTTAGATACGTAGCTTCAGCTACAACAAAGTATTTTGTATACCTCAAAACTACATATGAAATATCAAAGATCACTAAATAAATAAAAGCCAAGGAAAACTGGGACAGTACTGCATTTTACACTTGAGACAAGATTCCCCCCTCCCATGGATAAGTCACAGAGGACAACTACAGTAAATGCTTTTCTTTTTTTTTTTTTAAAGAAAGATTTATACACAGGTTCAGATCCAGAAAATAATGTGAAATGCATAAATATCGATAGCTTTAGCTAAGTTAAAATGGGTTCAGTAAAGTATGATACAACATATTCAGAATAAACAAAGCAGAAAAGCATCATATTTTGGTTTGCTTGAGATATACATAAGGTGCAACAATTTCTTCTCTAGAGGCATTTGTGGACAATGTGTTAACGGGTAACAGTGTTTGCTGGTATACTGAAGTACACACAATAGCAATAAGATTTTCCAAAATGAAAGCAGCTGAAATTAATAAAAATTAAAACAAAACAAACAAGGAAAAAACCCAACCCCAATACAGTAAGATATTGGTCTGAAATTTTTGTTGTGCTAACAGACTTTGTTACCTGAAAATACTGATACCCCTTCTAGTAGATTCAGGGAAAAATTCTAGCTACTGAAATCAAGACATCACTCAGAGAACCAACAAAGGCAAATGCCTAGTGAACTATAAAGCTTTGCAGGATTTCTGCTACTCTCAGTGCCTAATCGCTTAAAAATTAAGCATATCTACAAAAAGGTTTATAAGTATCTGAAAACAGTCATATCCAGTAAACTGACCCAACCCTACCCCCTCTCTAAGGGAAAGTCAAGGAAAAGCAGATCAAGTAAGATATTAATTCATATAGAAAAAAGTAATTTTCTGTTTCTTTTAAAAAAGGTACCATTAATATACAGAAATATCTTCAGGAACAATATTGAAATTTAAATTGAGGAAGGATGGGGTGCTTTGACAAAAATATATCTACTCTAAAGGTTTCTAGAGAAATAAGTTAGTACCATTGTCAACGTGAACGGCCTGCACTGTAACATATTTGGATTTCAGCTAATTATAAAGTGGTCCAAAACTCCAACAGCCACCTTGCTGTGACCCAACAGTTTTAAGTCTTTTAAGTTTTTCCTGTCTTGTTAAAATAACTTATAAAACTTTAATAAAATCTTATTAAAAATACTGCCATAGGCTGCAGTGGCATTCTAGGGGCTCTTAGTCATATATTCACCTGAATTTTTAAAAAGCCTTTTCATTGACTCACAATTTTTGTTTTTCTTTTGTTGTTGTTCCCTTCTTCCAACACCTACATCCTTGATGGTGCTGTTTCAGTGACACTTCCCCAGCTACCTGCCCTTTGTCAGACTTTAATCCTTCGTTACAACTCGTGTGGTATGTTGTACATTGTTTCCTGACACTGAACCAAAGACTTTCACTTAACCACAGCAATGAAAGGCTAAACCTAGCAAGCATTAGTAAGAGTTACTGTCCATATGGCTATTACATCAAATTAGTTACAAAATAACCCCAAAACACATTATCAATTCAGTCAAGTATAAATAAGAATGCCTGATAGAATGATGTAAACTCGCATCATTTAAAGACTTAATTCAAAGAACTTCAAACTCAATCTAATACTATCAAAAGTTCAGCCGGTATGACGAAGACTAATAGAAAATTATTGCTGGAGTCCAATTTGGTAAATTGTTGTGCTACAATGCAAAAAGTAGGGAAACATCTTGTGCTATAGAAGAAGTACCCTGTTGAATTTGTAGCTTTAGATCAATTACTAGTGATCGTTTTGCATCTATTGGTAGGAATCAATGCTTGGTTATACGATAGTGTAAGTCAAGATAGCGAAGGTAACAGGCCAAGTGATACACTTGGCCTGCTTTTGGGATGTATTTATGAGAGCAAACCACAAAAATTCAACATAAGCAAAGACAGAAACTGGCAGATGGATTTGTTTGGTAGTCTGAATTCAGTCAAATGTTACTCTTCGGTTGTAGTTTATCTGTATACAACTTGCCACTTTACCACCACAAACTGTAATTGGCCCTTTATGCAAACTCTGACACTGATTTGGACTGTGCATAGTAGCTACAACAATGCCAGTGTCTGTAAAATGTCAAAGGTATGTGTATTGGTGTAGATGTATATTGAAAAGTCATGGGTTTAGGTTTTTCAGAACGGTGAAATAATACTAAGGTCACTTTTGAAAAACACCTTTGCAGTACTTTTTGTTTACAGGAACATTTCACCAAGTCGCTCAGAGATCTATGCAAAACCAAAGGAACCCTCCAAGGCATGAAAGACAAGTCAATTATCCGCAGTATTTTCTTTTCCATACACCACTCCTTTTTCTAATGCACATCATCCTGGTTATTCAAAGCTAAATTAAAAAGAAACAAACCCAAACATAGCCTGTCAGAATTTTTGCCAGTAAACTCTACCACTCCGGTGGCAAATATAAAAGTGCAGAACATCTGGACCACGTGGCTGCCCAAACACCGCTAACAATGGTACATCTGTCCAGGCTGCCTTGAGTTCTCTGGAACAGGTTTTAAATTCATTCTACAATATAAACGTAGGCATAACCTATTAATATAAACCATCTTAGAACTTAAATCTTCATGTACAAAAATGACTAAGAATATCTAATAATAACTAGTGCAGTGCGTCAGTGTTTTTGTTGTAGGTTTTTTTTTTTTTCGTTTTCATTTAGAATAACTAGGTATTATATGAAACTAGTTGCCGTACTCTCTGGTTGGTAAAAGAGATGCTGTGTGAGCTAACAGTAAAGGCAGTCTTTTTCACACCAACCACCTATTTACTGTTTAAAAGCCTTCGATAGAAAGCAAGCTCTGGGATCATTCCACTTCTGTTCATTAATAAACAATTAATATCACCCTCCTACATACTGGGTTCCAATTTGAGGACCTGGCCCAAGTTGCTAACATCTGGCTTCCAGTGAATTCTGGGCCACTCAGAGCAATAAGCACTTGCTTGCAGTCTATAGTTTCCATCATATGGACTGACTAGCTTCCCTTGGTAAAGACAAGGCTAGGATATTAGGTAAAGCACAATGTTTTACAATAAAGTGGAGCTTCACTGGTCAGCGCAGGAAATAAGCACTGGAGCCTGAGACATTTCATTTGGCTGTCCGTCACGTGGGAGAGGTGTGGCCCTCTGACTTCTGCAAAAGAAGAAAAGAAAAGCCACCCATCATTATTTGGAGTGCAGGAGGTGCTTTTATCAGACCAGAAAGGATGGAAAGTGGCACGCGATATGGTTTAACATCTGACATTACAGGACCGTAACTCCCTGCTGCTACAGATGCCCACACACTGCTGTTACACGCTCTTTTTAGAGGTATCCCTGCAGCAGTAACACAATATCCTGAGGACAACCCGCAACACAAGGTCATGCAAAACCAAGATGTGATGGCATTTGACGACACAAAACAAAATGCACAGCTGAAGAGTAAGTTAAGAGCACACAAACGCTATCACTCATTTTGTAGGGGAGTGGCTTCAGCCCTCAGAAGTGGAGATTTCGGCTCATGTGTGGTAAAAGAAGGTAAATGCACAGAGGCCTATGTCATGTTAATGCAAGTCAATAGCCAGCTTTTAAGCAATATGGAAATATATTCATCAGCAGAGTTGCACATTGGGATTACTCCAAGTTTCATGACTTAACACTTCATCAGCCCAGCACAACATCCCTTTCATTACTACACCAGTGTTAATTTACAAATGATCCCCTGGCACAGGGAATCATAAAAATAAACTGCGCCAGAATTATGTGCTGGAAACCAACATCAATCATTGTAGCAGATGGACTTGGGAGAGCTCCTTTGCAGCTTGTCTTTAAAAATACATACACAAAGCACGTCACCGCCTGTTACCTAATCTCACAAGTCAGGTTCTATTTTTGTTACAGTATGTGTCATTTGTAGCAATGAAAATCTGGGGCCCACTTCTTATTTACACAAGGGTCACTCCACCTGACTCTGGCACAGCTTAAGACCCCAGCAGAAGCGGAGGTACCAACACACTTCACACAACCGGAGCGCAATGAAGTGGCCTTGGCACAAAATGCGGCTCAGGCTCACAGTGCTTAACCGGGGCAGGCACAAGGTAAATAAAGCTAAACAGAAGCCTTCAAATGAAAACCATGCTGCCACTTCCAGACAAGCTCTCATCACAGTTGAAATGGAGTTTGGCTTCCATGCCCAAGGCTCTGTAAAATTATTTAATAATTAAATTCAGACACTGCGAAAACACATTAAGCAAAACTCTAATGCTATTCTCCGCATTTCTGGCTATTTGCAAATACAGAAGCGAGTTACAAAATATAACAAACAGTCGACAGAGTAGTAAATAGAGAAGCATCTAGCCCATCAGATTTAGGTTTCTGTTTTGCCTGCCATATGCCAAGTCTGCGAGAGACATGGCTAAGTTTCTACTGGGAAAGCGTCCTCCCTGGTTTCATTTATTTCCCCCAGGGTGATTACAAGCTGGAATTTACAACAGTTGCTGGACATTTGCCACTTCACTGTTTTCAGACCTCGCAGGACGTGCTGCATCGCTCTAGCTGCAAGATGAGATGACAAAAGGTGGGAGCAATAAAGACAGACCCAAACAGAAGGCTATGTAAAACATTAGCTCACTTCAACAGGGACAAGAGAAGGACAAGAACTCTTAAGAGGAGCAAAGGGGGAAAAACCACAGCGAAGCAAACCCTGTTGCTCTTGTGCAATTCTGGTCAGTGTTAATGGAAATCAATGAAACCACAAGGCTGTGAGTGAGAGCAGAGCCTAGCACAGCACTTCCCAAGTCTCACTTCATGGCTTCTGACCACAGAAGATGACAGAAACGAGTTCAGACTTTTACTGTCTTGATAGCAGACACTTGTTTTGCAGAGCTGGGAGGAAAGGCCAGGCTGACTGCAGTGTGAAAACACTTCTCACCCAAAACAATGTTGCTTAAGCAAGAAAACAGCTTCTGCAGAGAAGAGCTAGCGGGCTGGGTTCAGCTCACTTTTTTTCTTGTAGGGCCCTTGAGCTTCTAAAATGCCTTTCAATGTTTGATGCGCAGCCTGAACGCACAGGACTAGCTTGGTCAGTGGGGGCCAGAAGATCAACAGTAGAATGAGGTTGTGAACGGTTTCATCAATCACTGCCTTGTGGAGTTTCTTAGGTAGCCAGCAATCTGTCAAATGCCATTTGCAGAGGCTGTGATGGTTTCAAACTGGCCCAGCATTTCCTCACTGACTTTTCCACTCCAATAAGCTGCAGCATCAAAGAACAACACTGGATAATTAAGAGCCAAGGAGGACTTGCTGTCATTGATTTCCTTCCAGCACAGGTCTAGCATGCAGGATCTGACCATGCTGAACTGATCCAACAGCCCTAAGTAACCTGCACATTCTCCACCTTGTCTGTGTGGACAGTCTACTCAGTAACTGAGAGGACCAACCCAAACAAATGTGGCTTTCCATCACCCAGAGTTGTTCTGTCCCATGCCATTCTGCAGACGCTTTGCTTCCTACACAGCAAAGCACAAGAGTAAAAATAACAAGTTAGCTTCCTTCAGCCATGTTCAACGTAAAAACTCCGGCTGAAGTTACATGACATTCTCTCCACAGTCTTAGGCCACCAAAAAAATACAAATTAGCATGCAACAGCTATTTAAATCTGCTATTATCCAACAAATGGCACCTGATAATTAGAAACTCTCAATCATTAGGATCTCAAGGAGCATATGAACCTGTTTATATACAAAAATTGGTAGGCAAGCTTACCAGGGAGGATCATTTTACTGACTACTGAAATAGATTACCTTGTCATTTAGGTGAAGACTTAACACTACTAAGCAAGTGGTGTAAAACAGACATTCATAGAAAGCTGTGGAAGAGGAAACACAGGGCAAATTAAACGGTCTGCAATTCACATGCTTTCTGAACAAACTGGCAGCCACATACTATGCACTTAGACAACAAGGGGAAAAGAAAACCATACCTGTGTACATTTTCCATGGCTGCTACTTCCGCCAGAGCAGCTAAGCTGAAAAATGCAGACACCGCTGGCATATCTGATGTAATACTATGATTTTCTTCTGTCTCTGCATTTCTGGAGCATTCGCTATTGCAATCTGTTTCTGCGCTTGATGTTTTTTGAGGAGTACTTTGTGGCAGCTCTTTTGGCTTCTCCTCTGCAATAAAAGAAAGTTAAGCTTGCAAATCTAGCCTTTATATTGACAGCAGCACATTGATACACTGACTAGTCTGGTGTTTACAGAATCCTTCCCTTTAGGACTTTGATTTTGCAAGTGTAATTCAAGTCAAGCTGCAACCTCTTCTGACCCAAGCTATTGGCAGAAGCACAGTACTACGGTTTATGAAGCAGTTTACTGATTTTGCATTCAACTGAGTTTGATCTTTTAGGTCAGGCAAGAGAGCTTTTGTCTATGTTTTAGATACAGAAGACCTGAAAGATTATCTTAACTGCAGAGGACTCTTGCAAGTGCTGTGGCACTTACTGTCATATTATGGAATACATTTTTACATCCTGTAACTAGGTGCAGTGTAATTTCTTTGCTGGACTGGAAAAAAATTATGAAAGGTAACCATTTTCCATTACTCTCCACATCAGCTATCAGTTTTTAGAGAGAAATATCCAGGCAGAGAAGACAGATTTGGGCATTCAAACAAAAGAAGCTGGCCATTAAGGACTCACTGATTTCCCAGTTGATTGATACCTGTATTTTAAATAACGACCTTTCTGAGCAAGTATGAAACCAAGCTGACTGAAAAATACTTCCTTGATACTATTCCAATGCCATCTCCAATCATTCAATTTTAACAAAATTTAAACTCCCATTTCTTTACCCAGTGTCCCTCCTGCTGGTGACACTCGACCATCTGCTGTTCGGACAAGATGTGTGATCTTAGTTTTTCTTGCTTTCCTTTTCTGGCTGCCAACTAAAGGCTCATGCATCATTGCTGGCTCTGGAGTGTTTAGGGCAGATAGAGAAATTTTATTCTTCCAGGCAGACTCACTGGAATTTCTGTCTTCTGAGAGTATGGCTGAAAGAGGACAAAAATGTTTTACATGTAAAATAATTCAACTACTAGCTATGCTCATTTACCATTTTGCATGTATCTGCATAAAGCCTTCCCTCACAGGTACTCAGAGCAAAACCCATGGGAAGATATGATCCAAATGCTGCAGATATTTGCAGGGGAATAGTAGCATCAGATCATACAGATATCCCAGGAGGTTCAAGTTTCTAGTATTTGCAAAGGAACCTGTGAGATGGGCAGCAGCACTTAAGTGGGAGCAGGGCATCAAACAGGCTGTATAAAACACTCTGCAACAGAAGATGCCAACAAGTAGCTAAGAGACAAAACGTATTTAAGGAACAATAATAGTCCTTACATAAGCTTTTCTTAGCTCACAGATAAGACTCACAAGCAGAATTCAGGGAGTCCTGACTAACCCCCAATCTCTTCTCTATAGTCACTCTACATCGTCTCCTCTGAGCAGAGGGAAATACTGCCTTTTACAGAACAACAAACCTTAAAAGACACCCAAAAGGCAGCAAATAGAAAAGCAAAGCTGGATCACAGTTGAAGATAAGAATGCTAAGAAAAGAAAGCAAGCACGGGATAAAATACTGTGACAGAAATACTGCCTACATAAAGTCAGAGAGTGAGGAAGGAACAGTTTGAATCTTTCTTAACAGTGCCAATGTTGGCATTTGGAAGCAGCCTTCTGCCCTGAACTGGAACGCGATCCCAAATTTTCACTTGGTTAAACGGTCACTTTAATCTTGTTCATGAAGAAATTGGTCAGACAGCAATCACAAAATGTATTTACGTTTCCAAAGTCTGAGATCAGAGCGCAGTCATTAATTGTTTGTAATTTCCATTGATTTAATAAGCCATACTACTGATACCATAGGGCATCACTAGTCCATAAATTCAATCTGTGACATCTTTTTTCCTCCTTTGATAAAAGCATTATGAGGCCTACCCCATCTGCGATCACTGCAAGCTAGGGTTAGAAATAGACTACAGGTAGCAAAGGGAACGCCTGAGTAATTTCTTACAGATGTTTGTCTAACCTGCTTTGCAATTGGGAACACTCATGGCATCTGCACCGAGTCCTTGGGGTACTTTTTCCCAGTGCACTGCCATCCTGAGTGATTACATATTCTTTCCTAATGCCTGTACCTCATCTCCCCTGCTGCATTTTCAACTCATTATTTTCTTAGTAAAGAAAACTCGCCAGGTTATACCCCATCTCTTTGCAAGTCCTTTACACATTTCACAGCTGTTACTGTGTCTACAGTTAGCTTTCTCTTCCCCACAATGTCTTTCAATCTTTCTTCCCATTTTAAAGATATGTTTAAGACCCATTTGTTCACTTTCTGGGTGGTAGGACCAGCAAGAATTATGTGCAGAAAACTCAAGCCAGAGTGGCAACAACTGCTCTTTCAGAAGGGCTAAGCACTGAACAAGATCAGCCTCCTACACCGAGACTGGTTGCATCACACAGGAGCACCCAACCCCACAAACCATGCACAGTAGTCAAGCAGCCTGCATGGATTTTGCCCTCTTTCATCTGAATGTGTATTTACGGTTTATTTATTGTTTGGTTTTGCAGATTTAATGAGCTTCCTATTTAAAGATAATATAGAATGAATCACAGAAGGGTTTGGGTTAGTTGGAATGGACCTCAAAGATCATCTAGTTCCAATCCCCTTCCATATAACCTCTATCTTCTGCTAGCTTCTTTAACTATTAACTATGTGAGGATGCGGACTGGGTGACGAGAATAGTTGAAACACATTTTATCTTGTTAGCTGTTGTTCTTGGCTCTTTTAAGTGGGAAGGGACCTTTTAATTTTAATGTTCTATGGCATAAGAATACAATGAGATCTAGTACATATGTGTAAAAATATTTGGAAATGTTCCAAACTTTAATTCATTTATGTTCTTAATTCATCTTCATATCTTCTCTTGTAAAACAGTTTTGAACTTGTGCATGCTCTTTATTTTGGAAAAAAACCTACACAGCTTTAATTAGCTTTTCTCAGTGTTTAGCTATAGATGCTAACCTTTCCAGAGCAGAGCTATGCTGTAAAACTTATTTTTTGCAAAAAGAGCAAGAGCAATCACAAGAAAAGATCTGGCCCATAACAGTCCAATTAAGTAGAAGTGCCAATGACTGCAAATGTGACTTTCAGGCAACTCAACTGAGCTAATAGTGAGATGTTCATATAAGCTGACTGTGCTGAGACCAAAATCTTAATTGGAATGTATAATTAAATTTCTCTCTAGATTTCTTGATTATGTATTAATGTAATGGTTTGGTTGTAGTCCAACACTATTTGTTAATTCTGATTGGGAGATATGCTCTAATTAGATAATACTTTGACAGTGCTGTTTAATTCTAGTTTGATGGAGTTTATAATGGCTTTAATGTTAGTAATACAAGTCACTTTTTTTTTTAAACATTTAATAAAAATATTAAGACATGATTTCAAACAATAACATACAATAGAAAGAAATCTGATTTGGTATGTTTTTAATTAGATGTGTGGTATATTATAAGCTATGTCAGGTCACTAGAAATTAACTTAATCGGTCAATATAGTAGACAGTTCCCTCTTACATTTGTTTTCTTTCTCATGCTGCATGCCTGAAAAAGCTCAAGAAATTAAAGGTAAGGAAAAACCTTGAAAGGCAAAATAAAGAGAGGTGACAGTTATTAAAGACATAAGAAGGAACATACGACATTGACATATTTTACTAAGAAATAGCAGAAGGTGGCTGATGAACTCAGGATGCAGCAAGTATATTCCCTCTCCATGTTTAAAGGCTTTTCAATCTTTGAAAGAGACTTCAGAGTCCTCTACTTGTTTTTCTCCTCTAGCTCTAAAGTAAGCTCTTTATCACTTCATCATAACATTGCTGCCATATAGTGTTGAAGAAGGAAGGATTAAAGGTGAACAGTCAATGAGTGCGTGAGTGTAAGTGTAGAGCTCATTGGGATAAGAAATCATTTAATTGACTTATTTGCAGATTATTATTCAAGCAGACATAACCTGGAGGAAATCACACAAAGGCTTCACTCATAAGACCCTTTGGACTACTTTCTCCTCTGGAGTTCAATGCAAGTTTCAACAACCGTATAGCTAAGCTAGGTACTAACAGGGATCCTCCTGCACCTCCTTCAAGAGAAACAGCACCCCACTGCTTCAGCTGACAAAGGTATATCCATTCAGATATATACCAAGACTTGGCTTTGCTGTGCAGAAAAGACATGGCTAAACAAGTTTAATTCCCTGTGTTTTTCTTTAATAATTACTTTAATCCATTTCATATCTCTTCTGTTTCCACACATTCCTGTGTTCAAGAGCTGTCCCGTGTAGAGCTCAGCTCATTTTCAGGAGAATGCCATCTAGAAATGAAGTTCTGCAGCTACTGTGCAGTCCTGCAAACAGATACTTACATGGTTTGCCTTCCGCATGGCAGTAGTTCTGCATGTGCTAAAGGGCTATTTTTGCAAGCAGAGTTGAGCACATGATATGAAGATGTGGGCCTTTCGGCATGCTTACACCACAGTCGCAAAAACGACTTTGGGAGAAAAACATCTAGAGCTCTCTGCCAGATGGTTTCCTGAGCTAGATTTGTTACAAGATAGCACAGACAGTTTACCCTGCTCTGCAGGCATGCAGAGTACATTTTCCCTCCTCTTTGTGAACAAGAAAAATGAGGTCAATTGGACTTGACTTGGCACACAACAGAAGCAAACAAGCTTTTTAGACTGAACCTCAGCAAGACACAGACAGATTTAAAGGAATTTCTTCAGCGATGCCTATCTGTTATGAGAGAGAGCTGCAGAAGTTTAACCACATTTAGTGGAGAACGAACGCTCTGTGGGTCCAAGCACGCTGGTATCAAGAAGGAAAGGTGGGCTGTAATGTTTTAATTGTCTTTATGAAGCTAAAAAGGGGAAGCCTAGTAAGACAGAGCAAGTGCCTCAGGAACCACTTCACCAAGGAATGCCAAGCACACTCTGACTTACACCCTGGTAGAAATTCCAGCTCTTCTGACAGCGGGATGCTGCTGCGATACCGCTCATAGGGTCAGGCAGCACACAGAGCTGCAGCAAGGGCTGGGTGGCACCAGCTGACAAGGCAGCAGATAGTCAAGCCAGGTGTATGGAACAGCTGGCTGGATGAGAAGCTCTGCTGCATGAGCCTGTGCTGACCCAGCCGTCTTCTAGCCTGGATGGATGCCAAAGGCACAGTGGCACAGAGCTACTGGCTCCCTCTGGGCTGCAGGCCCCACACAGCAGGGCTTTCTCAGCAGAAAGAAAAAAAGGTGATTCTGCTAATTTTCTGCACTTTCTGTTCTTTCTCAAACATATGTGCTAAGGCTGTACAGAGTGATGTGCATATGGGAGAGCTGATGGAGGATCCGTAGCAAGCACTTAGCTCCACCAGCCACATGAGACGAGGCTCCTTCACACATCAGCTAGTGCTGAGACTGGTGTTGATGTTCATCATGTCTTCTCCCCTTCTGGTGCAAAGGCCAGCACAGCATCTGGTTGTTACACAAACCATGCGAGAGCCCTCAGCACAGCTCACTAAACGTACCTACAAGGAGTCAATGGTTGTGACTTATCCCTTCTTATTTAAAGTATTGCTTCCCACCAGAAAGCATTAATGGTGTGGCAGAAAATAAATCTCTCAGTTGAGTGGTGTTCAACCTCCTCAAACAGATATAGGTTCAGCTTTGCTTCTGTCAGCCTTCTTAAGGAAGTGACATATCTCTTAACATATTCAGTTGCATTATTGTGTGCTCCCCTGCTAGGAGAAGCAGGGGTTGTGGCATGTCCACTGGTACTTTATTGGGCTGCATTTCTCTCAATAAACACCTGCAAACTTGTAACACAATGCTGTGCACGATGTGGTCACATGGAATCAAAATCCACTCGGATACTCAAACCAGAGACAGATTCAGACATCATGATCCAATCACATCAAAATGTGCCTTTACTGCATTTACTTTTC